TTATTTACAGAAGCTCGTCAATCCCACAAACATCCACCAATTTCCGGAAACAACATGGTCTAGCGGCCGAATAAGCTCAGATAACTAATACCTTTGTTGAAGTTGCACGATAGTTGTTTACGCTATCAGGACTTTGCATGAACAACTATCATGCTTTGGATGTTGAGATATTCTAGCGGTTGCAATTCTAGCGTCCATTCTTACGTCTAGGGCGGAAGTGGTGTAGTGGCAAGTGGCACGCTTACCACGCGAGCGGTCCGGGGATCAAATCCTGGGTCGTGAGTCGCCCGGGCCAACCAAGCCTTCCATCCCTCCGGGGTCGGTTAATTGGTACCAGACTTGTCTGGGAGGATAAAAACACTGACTTGTACATCGGCTGGCCCAATCGCATTCAAACGCCACTACGAATGTACAAATGGAAGTAGAATGCGTGCCGCATCCCAAAAAGGGATTGATCAACGGCAAATGCTTTATCCTTTTTTATTCTTACGTCTATGGCATTGAAAGAAAAGCACCAACACTTATTATGCACAAACACCGACCATCCCAGAAAGCTCGGAAAGATTAGCGGTCTAAGCAATCTCGATGGTAACGACGAAATCGCAAACTAAATGGTATTTTTTGTCGCCATCTAGATAACAACTTTAGCGGCTCTTCATTTTTACCTGATCAATCTTATCAGCCCTTATCAGGTGTTATCGCTTTTTGTCCCCCACCAAATATGTTCCCGTCCCACCCCCTATATCATATCTTGAAATCAACTCCTGACGACCACTGGTGCCCGAGCTATGAATTTCGCGACACTTGCGTTCTAGCGCCTTTTATCAGCCCTTATCAGTTGTTATCACTTTCTTCCCCACCAAATATGTTCCCGTCCCACCCCTATATCATATCTTGAAACCAACTCCTGACGACCACTGGTGCCCGAGCTATGAATTTCGCGACACTTGCGTTCTAGCGCCTTTTATCAGCCCTTATCAGTTGTTATCACTTTCTTCCCCACCAAATATGTTCCCTATCCCACCCCCTATTTCATATCTT